TTCAGGCTCCTCTGGGCGGTTTGGTTCAAATTTTTTTGGTTCAAACACCTTCTTGGTTGATCGTGATGCCCTGTTCCTTAAATCCTCATATCATCTCGGGTCAGATGGGGGCATAAAATTACGCGTCAACAGTTTGCCCCACTTTATCATTAATTATATAAAAAATGATTAATGTTAAAGTGGTCCATTGAACGCAAACCTTTTAATCTGGCATCATTCCGAAAGCTGCGGTTTTGATTTGGGTTGGAAAGAATGCTGAATCGATCATTCTGGACACCTTCTAAGCTCTCGGGGGGTTTTTGATCGGCTTTGTTCGATTTCCATTGAATAATGTGAAATGAATTCAAGCTCGTTTGATCGGCTTTGAAGACACCTCCGAGGCTCGGTTTGATCGGCCTGAGGATTTTTGGACTGAATAACTGGTCGCCTCCTCAGCTCGGTTGATCGGCTTTGTCGGCTTCCAATTGAATTGAAGAGGCATCCTCGAGGCTCCGTTTGATCGGCCTAAAAGATGTCGGTTTGATAGAAAAGTCTTCAAAGCTCAGGTTTGATCGCTTGAAGGATTTGGTCTGGCCACCTACTTGGCTCGGTTTGGATTCGGCTTTGTCCCGGCTCAGTCGATTTTTTAGAAAAGGCATCCTCGAGGCTCGGTTTGATGGCCCAAAAGATGTCGGTTTTACCCTGGTCAACTTCGCAATTCATCATCATTGACTGGGGGAGAAAATATTCAAACAGCTTCGCAATACATCACGCTGTTTTGAAATTGTTCTGACTAGCCTTTCGCAATTGCCATCAAGCTAAATAGTAAACCTATCGGCTTCGAAAAAACCATCACCTGTCTGGCCCTGAAAAATTGGTTTCACCAGAAGAAGAGCAATACCGTCATGGTAAACGAACCTTGCTCTTGTTAGAAAAATATGAACATCACATGTTCATGGGCGTTAATTATGAAAAAAGGAAAATTCACATTAAAGGCAAAAGGTTATACTTTTTGCCCCCAGTCCCGGAATTCCGGCCTAGGACTAAAATATCCACCTTTGTAGGCATATTCTTAATCAATTTGCAAAAATTTTAACAAAAATTTTGGCATAAATGAATTAACAAAAAATTTGTTATCTGCATTTCAGTATACCCTTATAATAATACGCGTTTAAAGGAGAACTTACCCTGAGGGGATCTGGGCAATTTTGATGCTCCTGCCCGCTGTGGGTGAGTAAACAAGAATTGCTGCAGTGTAAGAGCCGCACATCAACGTCAAATTGCCGAAGTGGACCGTCGTGGGCTTTCAAAATGGCCGCGTGGGCCCTGTTGGGCCTCGAAAAGAGATAATGGGCCCAAATGCTCCTTTTGGGCTTGGGAGTGGGCTTGGGCCAGCTTGCTTACTATAAGTCACTTCCTTCTTAACTCAATTCATTTTCACTTAATTCACAAACCCTAAGCGATTGAAAAATTCTCTGAAACTGTTCAACTGAAAACTGATGTCTCAGATCTCAGAAATCCTGCTTCGCCTACACTCCGGGATGAGACCCTCGGGGCCCTACCCGTTCTCGACGTTCGATGGCGAGCCGATGCCGGTGAGTTAGAAAAGCCGCTGACCCCCGGGACACGGCCGTTGCAGCTACCTTATCCGTTGCTGAGCACAGAGTTCCCGGTCAATTACGAGACGAGCCGGATGCAACGGCTTTCAGTCCGAGGTAAGTAAAAAAAATGTCTCTCTCTTCTTTTTTTTTTATTTTTTACTGCTTTCGATCCGTAATTTGTAGTTATAGACCCTTTTTAGAGTTTGTGCCTGCGTCAACAGTCGCGTCACGTAAGGTGGAGTTAACGTGGGTGGCTGTTCTTCCATGAACAGTTGCTTGACGCAGCTATTCCTGTTGTGAACAGTTGCATGACGCAATTGTTCGAGCGGCCCCGAAACCCTAGCTTGGCCTTGAAACTTTGAAATCGACCCTTTTTCATTTGGTGTTAGAGTTTTAATTTGTTGATATTTGCTTGTTGGTATCTCTAGGCGACCTTGATTTTGCCCTGAATTGCATGAAAATAACACACATAGTGAATTTAGGTATACATTGAATTACTGCGTACTTCGCAGTTGCGTCACGCAGCTGTGTTTGGAAGAACAGTTGGCGTGACGCACTGTTCGTCAGCAACGCAGAGTTCCTTGAATGGAAGAACAGTTGCGTGACGCGACTGTTCGTCAACGGGGGAGAGTCTTGAACAGTTGTGTGACGCAGCTACCAAGATGCGTGGCGCGACTTCGTGGTTGCGTGGCGCGACTGTGGAGTGTCGTGGAGCGAGTGCTGAGGTGCGCTACGCAGCTGTGCTTCTAAGTGCGCGACTTGGTTCAAGTTGTGTGACGCAACTGTGTAGACGCGTGACGCAGCTACGGTTCTAACCGATACTTGGGTTTTTATTTTTTCTGCCATAGAAGAAAATGAACAATTGTTAGTATTATATTTATTGAAATTGAAATTTTTCCTTACAGGTTAATCTGGGCAAGGCTCGCTCTCTTACAGGTTAAATCTGGGCAAGGCGTTCGGGGGAAGTTGGAGTGGATCAGCCACTGATGCCTCCGCTTTCTGGGACTTGCTGGACCCGCCTATGCGAGCTCGGGTCGTCGCTGCAGGCTTCAGAGATTACGCTGTAGGATTGCGCCGCACACAGCCTCGTTTCCCGCCCGCTATACGATATGCATTGATGAAGCGGTGGAACAATTGCACTCACACCTTCATCTTCTGGTTTGGCGAGATGAGCCTCACGCCCGTAGACTATGCTGCCATCACGGGCCTTCGCTTCACTGGTCCGGCTCCCCCACTAGATTCTCGATACCAGACGACTACTCTCGGAGATCAGCTAGTCCGCTCTCTGCTCGGTGTCACCACACAGACCTGGTACACCGTGCAGGGATGTATGTCTTATGAGATGGTTTTCCGGTTCTGGGCCGAGAGGATCAGGACCCGACTGGCTGCTTGGAGGGAGTTGCCGGAGGAGGCCCGACCTGCTGCTCCTGCGTATAATCGGGAGGAGAGGGACCAGGCTGCTCGGTCACCAAGGCTGGAGGGACCAGGCTGCTCGGTCCTTCTTGTTTTACATCATCTCGTCCCAGCTGCTCTGCACCTCCCAGAATAAGGGAGACCCAGCGGTGCTGGCATGTCTGCAGGATTTGAGCTAGGTCGGGTCCTTCGACTGGGCCACACTCGGTTTGGCTCTTCTCTATCACGGTCTGGATGTCTGGACTCGTGGTAGCGATGAGTCGAACTGGCTGTTCATCCGGCCTCTGGAGGTAACATTCTTTCACTCTTCAGTTTCTTCTTTATCATTTTCAACTGTTCAACTAACTGATGTCATTTCTTTCTCTGCTGCAGGTATGGTCCTACGAGTACTGTATCTATCCGGGTGGTCCTCCGGGTGGTCCGAGTGCGATTCTCCGGTAGATTCCTAGAGGAATTCCCTGTTATCTGGCCCTGCCAATCCACACTTAAATGCCAGTGGCAAGCGATCCTGAGTACTTGGCGGAGACTTTCCTTAACTGACCGGCGAGCAGTCCGACGTAAGTACAAAACAGAAACTCTGAACACTTAGCTTAGCTCTCTCTCTTTTATTATTAAATGCATCACAATTAACTGTTCCTTATTCTTATTGCAGTGTTCTGACTCCTTGGGAATTGGCGAGGCCTGGAGGACACCTACCCAGGCCGGAGGTGGCTTGAGTTTCACACCCGGTCGAGGCTGCTTGATCGCGGGGATACTGGCTGACCGGTTACTTCCTTGGAGAGAGAGTTTTTGACACGCCGATAGCTCCATCACAGCGGAAGGGTGCCCTCATGCACCTCCCTCGGCACATGTGTCTGCCTGAGGGCTTGACCGGGAGGACTAGAGTGGAGTATAGAGGTTCTCGGCGAACGATTTCCTATCCGTCGGTGATTTCCCCTCCTTACTTCGCCTCGTCGGATGCAGGCCGCGACCTTCCCGAGATTCTTGAGTACACCTCAGGTGACTTTGTTGATCTTCTCCTTATTTACTTTCATTACTATTTTTCAACTGTTTCAGATCCACTGATACCATCATTTCTCTCTATAACTTTATTGCAGGAAGTGGAAGACGCATAAGATTGGCGGCTCACGTAACGAGCAAGAGGCAGCGGCTGAGGCGGTGGTGGCGGCTGCTCCGGCTGGACCGCCGGTGTAAGTACTGGGTGACGTCCCATTCGCCACCGGGACATGGAGGTGGTGCTGGACCCTGGTCTACGGCTTGGGATCAGGGCATCGTCATTACCTGCTGATCTTCGGCAGGACTCCTCTTCCGGTGGCAGCTGGACGTGCAGCTAGACCCTGAGCACACTACACATGTGAGTTATAAACCGAATTTACAAAGTTAAGAGCACTTTACCTGAATAGCCTTTTAATGAAATTTTTGTTTGCAGGTGCCGGTGCAGGTGCCGGCCCAGAGGTATCAGGAGATCTGCCAGCGGTTTGGGTTTGCCCGATCCTACATCGGTCGGCTCTACTCTAATGTACATGAGCGGGTGGGTCCAGTCTTCCTGTGTCTTGTCCTTCTTCCTTCTTATTATTATTTTTTCTTACACATCTTTGTTTTTCAGGACCTGGAGATCGATAGGTTGCGGAGGCATCAGTCTCATCAGTCCAGCGTTGTGAGACGACTACAGGCGGAGGTAGAGCGACTTCGGACGAGGCTGGAGGTTGAGGGCATCCCGTTCGATTCTTCCGAGGAGGATGAGGATGGCTCTTCTTCACCACTGTCTCCACCCCCTCAGGCTGCTGCTGGTCTGAGCCGTAGGCAGCGATAGTCCTGCTCCGTGTCTCAGCCATTTTTGGACACTTTTTGAACATTTAGTAGTTTTATATTATTTTTTTAGGATGGTTGTACAGTTATATTACTTTTATGATATTATTTACCCCCCTTTTTTTTATTTTACAGTATTTTGTTTTTATTATATCATCATACCTGTTTATATTTTATAGTCGTGAGATCTATTCCTGCAAAAATAAAACACAAACACAACAAAACACAACATAGCGGTGTCCCATTTATCCTGCAAAAATAAAACACAAATACGAAAACACGAAAAAAGAGGACGGTGTCCCATTTATTTACAAAAGCGGTCCACCTTGTTAGTGGTCCATGGAGCAATTTATTATAAATGAAATGAATGAAATAAAAATGAAGTAAATAAAGGATAAAATAATGGATTTAAAATGCAATACGAGAAAAATCAATTACTAAATAACAGTGGATCGTAGTACTTACCTGATAGGGCGATTTAACGCGGTCATAAAGATTCAACCTCCTCGTTGTACAAATCGTCCTTCTTATTTATCAATGCGGGTTTAAATGCTCACCCACTCCGAGCAGTCCATACATGAATGTCCTTCCAACTACCCTTAACAGTGGACATTATGTCGGACAATGATGATGCTTCGCTCATCGGTTCTTTTACCCTTCTATAAATGGGGGTTTTACTTCACACCTCCTTCACATCCAACGTTCAACACAGACCAGTCTCTCGAATAATCCTTTTCCATGGCCTTCAAGTCTCATCCTTTGTCCAATCCATTCCTGACGATCTATGGCAAGTTCCTCCTATGAACCAGCTCGTTTGGCTGTCCAATCCATTCCTGACATCTGTGGCAAGTTCCTCCTGATGAACTCAGCTCATTTGGCTGAAATATTTACAAGACTTTAAAAACCTGAAACTATGGTTTTCTTGTCCTGGCTTATTATCTCAATTTTTAATCCTAACAGCCATGGTTTTCCCAGTTTGTCTGAAGTGACTCCGACCTACGAGGAAATGTGTGCCGTGATGGATCATCATCCTGATCAAGACGAGACTCCGGCTTTACCCCCAGGTCCTAAGTATGACCTAGCTGAGATTGCAGCCTTGTGTCCTGTTTATCTTCCTGACGGCATAAATGTGGATCAAGGCCTTCTCTTGGACCCTTTCTTGAATAGGATTTTGTCTACTGATCTAGATCTCCCTTGGATCCAAGCTTGCTGTTTCTTGCTAGTGAATGTGTATGCCATGAAAAATCGCCAACCTGGAATTAGAGATTTCCGACTTCTGACCGTTGTCCGTGACATGCAATTGTACCATCATACTGTGTAGCCACTCACATACTGTCTTTAATGATGATTATGGGAGAACAATGTTAGTTTGGCAGGGATATTGGCCCTTCACATCGGTCGACTTCAATGTTCATAGCATCAGCAGTTGTCCACTGCTATTGCAATCCTGGGCTCTGACAAAAATTAAGCCTGATTCCTCCGGTAACCTCGCTTGAGTTTCGATCCTATGGGGCGCCGCATTTTTCAATCTCGGTCTCGGAGAACGTTTGAATTTTGTGGTAACCTACTAATTCGGTGGACCTTGTCCTTGCCACGGATTAAAGACTGGTCCACGACCAAGGTATTGAATACTCAACTATGTGTGTATGCTAAGTTCCTAGACCATTCCATTGGCCTATTTTCCTGATAGGAATCAGCCGTACAATATGGAATGAATACAGGCGTGTTCCCAGAGTCCAACTTCGAGAGCGGTCCTGATAACATCACATCTGTGACCAATTTGGCTGACACGTTGGCGAAATGCGAAAACACACGTGTATTTAGATGACAGGAATGATGCAAGACGACTGTGACACCCGCATAATGCCAACTGTTCTTTTAAACCCCATAATGATATCATGCCTGTGAAGATTGGCTCTGCTGATAGGCCCCCTGGAATAAATTGGTTTTTTTTTGTTTTTTGTACCCAGGCCAATGAGCTTTTTATTTTGAATATATCTGCTCTCCTTTCATATTAATGTGCCCCCGATGATCCCTGTCTTTATTAATTCTTGCTTCTGCAAAACATGAACTCAACACACATCCAACAAACTTTTTCTTTCGAAAATTGGTTTGTGGCATTAGTCTATCTTGGCCCTCCGATCCCTTGGGTTAAATAAAGTGAAAGCTCATTAAGAAAGAAAAAAATTATCTATAAACGATAAAAGCTTAACACTGAGAAATAACAAAGAATGGGGTGACTGATTTTCAAATTACTCTGCGATAAATCAGACAAAATACAAATGTAACTCCTTATGTATGCATGAACCTATACTGCGGTACTAAGGCTTATTCATGGTTTTATATTGATCTTTCTGGGGAAATCACCTGAGAGAAAATGGTAACTTTGTCCTCCGATCAAGTTCTTAGCAGAGAGTTCAATGTGTTTGGGCAAGGACCAACAGCGGAACATTCTAAAACCAAATGAAGTCGATCTTTTGGTTTAACAGTAAGCCAAAGAGGAAGGTCTTGCATTACTTTGACCACAACCCCGGAACAAAAAGAAAAATTTTGAAGTTCAAAGTCCTTTCATTGATCTTACTTCTTTTTCAACATTTATACAGAAGTTGAAAGATTTATTTTAATAGCAATGGTCATTTGCTCTCTAACCGGAACAGCTGAACTTGTCTCATGGCAAAAGTGATCAAATATGTTTGCCGCCGCCCAATCAATATCTGTTTGAAATGCTGCAATTTGATTGGTCATTACAAAATTGGACCGGAAGTGGAAAAAAATCGTACAGTCCATAAAGGCCCTTGGTCCGCGGGTGGGTGATGGAAAAAAACTTTTGAATCTGAGTGCCTTAATTTGTGGTTGGATGTCTTAGCAAATGGGCAATTTTGCACACAATTGGAAATTCACGAGGATGCCTTCAAATATTCGTTTGTTTGTAACTTTTGCAATCAGACTCCAAAAATGAAATTTGTGTGTATAACATTGGAAAATGAAATTTCGACATGGTTTGGGCTGAGTGCCTAATGGATTCCATGTAAATTTTTACATGGTTCCACGAAGCCGTTTGGGAGTTTTTGGATTCTTTACATTCCATACCCATACTAATTTGAACAATTTATGAATTTTAGGAAACTCAGCGGTTCGGAAGGATCCCAAATTATTCAATTCCACGATGACGGCGAACTTTTTCAACACGAAAATTTGATCATATTTTTTTCAAAGATCCATGAAAATCATCAACCAAAATGCTTAAAAAACGAAGCCTCATTTTCATTAGCTAGAAATCAACAACGAATTAGTATTTTACAAACTAAGTAAAACTAAGTTTTTAATGAAAGATGAAAACCTTGTGAAAGGCAAGGAGCTGATATTGGTTTGAGAAAATGAGTCCGTTTTTTAGTAAAGCCTGTATTCTTTTTCATAATAGGCTTTCCATTTGATTTTACTACTATATGTTAGAGAAGATAGAAATTGTTGCACATCCGGAGTTTAACTCCTCATGTTCATAATCAAGATTGAAAATATCTTAGTCCGATGCTATTTTTTCGAATACATCAATTCGTTTACTGAAGATTATTCCACTTCAAAGAGATACAAAAGAACTAATGCTTTATAAAATTGATAAGTGTGGAATTTATATCGAGATGAAATTTTCCCGTAGCGGTGGTTTGCCGGGTTAAAAATTGCTTCCGTTTACAAACCTCTCCCCTCTGATTACATGGTAAATAAATGGGATGGGAAAACGAGGAATTTTTTTCAAAATCATTAGAGAATTGTGGGAAAAATTGGACCTTACTCAGTTTTTGAAACGAAGCCTTGCTTTATCGTTAGAGGTACTTGTGATAGATCAATTAGCTGAAATACTATCCAAAATTTGGGAATAAAATCATGACTTACAAAGATTCAGATTTCCCTGTGGGGGAATGGAACTACAAGTTTTCTCTCTAATTAATCCACCCAATATTATGATA